CCCCCCCATAGCTAGCAATCCAAAACAGTCCAGTGGCACCCTTAAGACCAGGTTTTATTCAGGTACAAGCTCTCCCTCCTCTGTGAGGAAAGATCTGCACGTTCCCCCCCCCAATAGCTAGCAATCCAAAACAGTCCAGTGGCACCTTCTGACACACTTCCAGTGATGTCAGGGGGTGTGGCATATGCAAATGAGTTATGCTAATAAGTTATGCTACTGAGCTCCTGCACCTCTTTTTCTACAAAATGACCCCTGGTGGATGCCACTTCAAAAAGTGTGAGAACCACTGATTTAAGCAATTTAATGGATTGATCCTCTGCCTTTGAACGGATGCATCTGTTAAATAAAGGCACCTTGCCAAATCCTCACAAGGTGTCTTTTTGAGATATTGAAGGAAGTGCTCTGGTTTCCTTGCAAAGTGAACTGATAGTTCCCAGTAGTCATGTATGGCTGCGAGAGTTGGACTATAAGGAAGGCCGAGCGCCGAATATTAGATTCTTTTGAACTATGGTGCTGGAGAAGACTCTTGAGAGTCCCTTGGACTGCAAGGAGATCAAATCAGTCAATCCTAAAAGAAATCAACCCTGACTGTTCCCTGGAAGGCCAGATAATGAAACTGAAGCTCAAATACTTTGGCCACCAAATGAGAAGGGAGCACTCACTGGAGAAGACCCTGATGCTGGGAAAGATTGAAGGTCAAAGAAGACGGGGACGGCAAAGGATGAGATGGTTAGACAGTGTCATCGATGCAAGGAACATGAAATTGAGCAAACTTCAGAGGACAGCGGAAAACAGGAGGGCCTGGCGTGATCTTGTCCACGGGGTCGTGAAGAGTCGGACTCGACTGTGCAACTGAACAACAACAACAACTTCACGACCCAAAGGAGTCTCAGAGCGGCTCACAAACTCCTTCCCCTTCCCCTCCCCACAACAGGCACCCTGTGAGGCAGGTGGGGCTGAGAGAGCTCTGACAGAAACAGCTCTTTTTCAAGGACAGCTCTTACCAGAGCTACGGCTTGCCCAAGGTCATCCAGCAGTGGAGGAGTGAGGAATCAAACCCGGTTCTCCCAGATTAGAGTCCGGGCACTTAACCACAACACCAAACTGGCTATGTTTCTGGGGGAGGGTTGTAGGCAAATGTTAGTTTTGGCAGGAGGGATGCTCTGGGAGAGGTACGTGCTTAGTGTGGGGGCAGCTGACTCTTAATTCTGGTGGGCAAATACCGTGGGGTGATTGGGTCTTGGTCTTTAGTGCCTTTACTTGAACCC